CCAAAACCCCAAAACCCCAAAACCCCAAAACCCCAAAACCCCAAAACCCCATCTGGATCGAATTGAAAAGAATTTAAATTTACAGAATAAAAACACTTAAGTTCACTTTATTCTGATTATATTTTCAGAATTTGAATCCATTATCTTTTCCCCACTTCTTCATTACTTGCACAAAATACTCTACTTGAGGGTTATTAGTATTCTTTAGCATTTGGATAACTTCGATAAGTCTCTCTTTTGATTCTTTGCCAGCAACTACCATTTGGAATACTCCAATAGCAGCTCCTCTTTTACCTTCCCAGAATTCTGGATCTGGATCTAGTCTTTCTAGGACATCAAAGGCTTTCACAGAGTGATAGAATTAGCCCATCTTATAACAGTCGTTAGCTATCAGATTAAGTAGACTTAGTGACTCGTTTGAAGTTTCCATATTAATATAGATTTCCCATGCTAGATGTGGTTTCTTGTTCATAATATAGCATCTACATAGCCAGCTAAGATAGCAATAATCATTTTTGTACTTCTCATTTTAAATTTGTAATAGTGCCTCCTCAGCATCTTTATAATCACCAGCAGAGGCTGAAGCAATACCAAAGTTCCAGTTGAAATCATCATCATTCAAGAAATAAGGTCTGATTGATTTGAGATATACAAGCACATCATCAAACTATTTCAGGATAAAAAAGCATGATGCCATACATTATCTACCTGGAATAGTATCGCACTCTGATGGTGATGCACCAACCATCTAAAAGAAATTTTGAGCTATTCTAAGGTGCTCCTTTTGATCTGTGTTTTATCCAATTACTAGATGAACAACTGCCTTTAGAATATACTCTTTAGGGACAACGCACTCCATGTCTTTGATTAGTTAATAAGCCTCATTTACCTCATCATTCTTAAGGTAATAGATAACTAAATTCAATCTAGCCTCTGGGACTACATCAATAAGGGGAGGTAAGACCTAGAGAGCGTTTTCTCCTGATCTAAATACAACCAGATTGTGTCTGAGAAGATCATTGTCTTAGAAAATATTTCCGGTCGTTGAGCTATTTTGAAGAACTTTAAGTTCAGCTTCAGCTGCTTTACCGTTATATAACTGGTAGTGATTGCAGGCTTTAAGATTAACTCCCACAACTGAATCTGGATATAGGCCGAGGTATACAGCAAGAATGTCTAAACTGACATCATAGTAGTCCATTTTGTAATAGCAAAGTGCGACATAGATGTTGATTGCATGGAAATCCTTATTTTCAATTAAGAGTTTCTTATAAATTTCAGTTGCTTCTTCATGATGACTTCTAAGGTAATGTAGTGCTGCAATACACAATTGATCTTCTATTGAGGTTGTCAAAGCGCTATGATACCTCATGATCACATTCTCATCTTCACCTGTCTTCTAAGCCAACTGGAATAGTAATCTGTTTCTGAGACCAGACTCTTCGGCCTTTTGAGCTTCTACCATGGCTTCTTTATAATTACACAAAGCATACATGCAGCATGCTTTATATGAATGTAGATTTCTATCATAATCTTATCTCTTCATCAATTCGTCATAAATATCCATAGCTTTCCTAATTATCAATTAAATCTATCATAGTCATACTTATAGTCTCCATTGTGGAAGGCGCAATAAGCTATACCAAGATAAGTCTTGAGATCATGTCTATGAGAGTATTTCTTATCGCACTCAAGGATAGTTAATGCAGCAATGAAATCTCTTTTTTTAAGGAAATGAGACACATCTGGAAGTTTATTTTCCTCTTACTATAATCAAGATCAGTAATTTTAAGAATATTACTTATTTTTAAGCTATAGCTTATGGTAAAGGCTTTTATTTGCGCTTAATGGCTGATCCAGGTCTAATCATTTTCTTTTTGAATTTAAATTCTATATTATAAATTTCTAAATTTCAATTGATATTTTCCTAATTTTACAGTTACGGGGTTTTGGGGTTTTGGGG